AGCCGCTATTTTTTTAATCGCGCCTTCATTCCCCTCTGCCAATCTGGCTAATCTACATGCCTCCGTCGAAGGAGGCATGTAGTCTAGACACACCCCAAGTGCTGCAGTGGATTCTTCATCACTGACTTTTTCTAAATCAAGATTAGTTGCTTTTCTAAAAGCTCTGCTCTAGGAATTATTTTGGGGCCTTTCTACAGCTTGCTGACCTGTGTTCTCCCAGTAGTCAAACTAAATGATGACACTGAGCCCCTCTAGTGTTAGAGTCTATGTAAATCTTGTCATATGATGTGTTTGTAACTGAGATTCAAGTGTAAACCTTCCTGCCATTTTGGCCATGTACAGTTATTGCTATGTCTTTTAGACCCAGGACAGTCCAAGTGTTATTTATCCATATATCATTTATACTGAAAGTGGTTAATTTATGATGTTCATGATGTTTAAAATGTAATTGGCAATTTAAACATCATCTTTTGCAGACCAGTTCCAGAATGAGATTGGTGAGTCTGACCTCATTACTAAGCAGGAGCACTCAGATTTCCTTCTCCTTTTCTATTGATTAATTGAAAAAAATGTGTCTCCTATCATGTCAGTTTTCCATGCCCGTCTCTCAATAATCAGGAGGCATAAAAATCAATCAAACAAAAGCACCATCAACCTTTCATTTCATTGGTTTAATTTTGCAAATGCTAAATTAGGTAAAAACTCATTTTGCTCACATGAAAAGTTCATTGGATTATGTGGATCACATACAGATTTTATATGGTCTTTATGGGAAGTGGCCCATTTGAGGCAGGTCAAATAACAGTGGTCAGGGTGGAAAACATTGTCTCGTGCTGCCATGTCAGCTGCTCCCTGATGGCCCCTTCTCCTGCCTCTCAGTGATCTGGTCCTGCCATTTTGCCTATATCTCCACTAGCAGGTTGTGCATGCAGTCCGTCTGCTTGCAGATCATTTCCTCTCATGTGCATTTGCACGTGCAGATCAGAGCCAGATGGGCAGATGCAGCAAGAGGTGGAGGATGTACTGAGCTGTCTCAACTGCAAAGAAAAGTTACAAGAGCAGATGTTACAGGAGGTACATTGTGTGGAGCTTAACCTTAATCTATTAGCGTACTCTAAAGAAGGTCTTTGTAAAGACAAAGGAGATGTGTTCTGTGTAAGGCCAAATGTTTGCTTTAAAGCAGATACTTTACAGAAGGTGCCCAGATATCTCAGGAGAGCATTGGGACACCCTTGGTTCAGAGGTAGGCAGGAGAGGGAAGGGCCTGCCAGGCCAGGAGCCTGAAGGCAGGAGAGGGTTAGCAGCTGAGGGCAGCTTTCCACTGTGTCCTGTCCATGTCAGGTCCAGCATATGTGACTCCTGGAGACTGCTTCTTTTTCTGTCTTCTTATCTACTCTTTTCCTAATGGTTCCTAACATTCAGGGTTTTGTTTTGTTTTTTTAATAAAACTTCATGTTGAGCAGATGTTTTCAGAGAATTCTCCATGATTTGTAACACCTGAATAAAACTTAATAATTTGGGAAAATGTTAGTGGAGGAAGCTCAGAGCATCAGAGAAGCAAGCAGTGAAACAAGTTATTGTCATAAGCTATCTGTGTAATCTAACTTATAAAATACACTTTTTCTTTCGCCTCCTTCTTTCTCTATTTAATTTCTGTGGGAAAGCCTCACTTATTCTGGAACTAGTGAGAGCTGAGGCCTTCTGACCTGACTCAGAGACAAAAACCTAGTCTTCTCACAGCTGCTGGGAGCCTCACTTACTGCTTTCTTGTGTGAGCTTTCAAGAGGACTTTTGCTGTTAGGTATTTCCTTATTATCTTGTGCACACATCAGCTTTTGTGAGGAGGAGCTTTGGACTTGAATTTGACTTTGGATTTTATGGAGTGCCAGTGTGAGATCTAGGGTCATAGCCTCTCAATGGCCAGCTTTTATGTTCATACTTACCCATTACCTACACCAAACTGCCCACCCTGCAGAATACTAGTTACAGAAGAGGGCAAAAATGTGTATGTATTCAACACTGTGTCTTTTTATTACAGACAAGGGTCAACAGGAGGAAGGTGAGTTATTGCTGATTTATGTAGCCTTTTAATTAAGCCAATGCAAACAGGAACATCTGATGAAATTGTCTTTACTTTATGGCTACGTCTACACTGGCGGCTTCATGTGCAAGAACTCTTTTGCGGAAGAATTCTTGTGCAAAAAATCTTCCACAAGACCACAGCCACACTGCCATGTGCTTTTGCGCAAGAGCATCCATGGCAGTGTGGATGCTCTTTTGCGCAAGAAAGCTCTGATGGCCATTTTAACCATAGGGGCTTCTTGCGCAAGAAATTCATGTTGCCTGTCTATACTGCACAAGAGAGAGCTCTTGCACAAGAGGGCTTATTCCTCGTGGGGAGACGAATAACTCTTCCAGAAGAAGCCCTGTTTTACAACGCTGTACTGTAAATTAACTTGCACAAGAATGCATGTGCAGTGTAGACAGCAGGCAAGTTTTTGCAGAAGAACGGTTGTTCTTGCAGAAGAAGCTGCTAGTGAATACATAGCATCCATGTGTGAACAAGAGCACAACTCACTCTCAGTATAGTCCACTGTACTGCACAGGTGAAAGTCATCCTTATTGTAATTCCAGGGAAGTCTGTTCAGTTAGAACATGGAAGGATCAGGTTGCAGGATTTTGGGGGGATATTTTGAATATTCCTATCAGAACAAATATAATGTAAATATTTTCCCAAAAGAAGAAAGCAGTGTAGGGAGGCATAGCATTTGATATGAGAAGATCCAGATTTCATAGAATCATAGAATATTAGAACTGAAAGGGACCTCGCAAGGCCATCAAGTCCAGTCACCCGCCCTCATGGCAGGACCAAGCACCATCTAAATCATCCCTCACAGATGTTTGTCTATCCTGCTCTTAAATATCTCTAGTGATGGAGATTCCACAGCCTCCTTAGGCAACTTGTTCCAGTGCTTAACCACCCTGACAATTAGGAAGTTTTTCCTAATGTCCAACCTAAATCTCCCTTGCTGAAGTTTAAGCCCATTGCTTCTTGTCCTGTCATTAGAAACCAAGGAGAACAATTTTTCTCCCTCCTCCTTGTGACAGCCTTGTAGGTACTCAAAAACTACTCTCATGTCCCCTCTCAGTCTTCTCTTTTCCAAATTAAACAAACCCAATTCTTTCAGTCTGCTCTCACAAGCCACGTTTCCTAGACTTTTAATTATTTTTCAAATATAGCATGAACTTTGATGAAAATTTTATGAAAACAGTGATCCTGTACTGTGAAGCATTAACTTAATTTTGCTTGATGGTACAAGAAATAGTGGGAGTTAGAGAGTGTAATAGGGTATGTCTCCACTAGCTCGTTAATTCAAACTAGGTAGGAAAAGCAGGCAACCAGAGTTGCAAATGAAGCCCAGGATTTAAATATCCCAGCCTTTATTTGCATGTTCCTGTCCGGTCGCCATTTTTCAATTCCACTAGTACGAAGTAACTGCCGCGTGGCTACATGCAGCAGTGAAAAAGCAATTCAAGCTAAGTCCTTAGTTTGAATTAACTTTTACTTCTCCTGGAATGAGGAGCAAAAGTTAATTCGAGCTAAGGACTTAGCTCAAATTGCCGTTTCACTGCCGCGTGTAGGTGCAGTTACTTCGGAGTAGTGGAATTGAAAAATGGCGACCAGATGGGAACATGCAAATAAAGCCCGGGATATTTAAATCCCGGGCTTCATTTGCAACTCTGGTCGCCTGCTTTGCCTACCTAGCTCGAATTAATGAGCTAGTATAGACATACCCCTAGTGATTATATATGAATAACATAACATAAGTATTGAAGTAACATATGTGGCACCTTAAATAAGTTTGATTCATGCCATGCATTCCATCAACAATTCAATTAACCAACTGCAATATATTAACCAAATTTCTACTGAAAAATGCATATTCTGAATTGATTTAATCTGTTGCAGAAAAAATACACAATACCTATGGTAAGTTTGCAAAGATTTCTAAGCAATTGCTCTGAGATTTTTTGTCTTTCATAAATGACACTATTTTGCTGATCTGTGATTAATCTTGCTACCTTATCAGTATAATTTACCTAAAGATTTTTAGCAGTTCATGCTATAATCTCTAATATTTGTCCACTTACATCAAGACCTCATAGCAGGTAATATTTTTATATAAATAGTTCATTCCCTACTTCACAGTTCCTCAGAGATTTGTGATAAGTTTATATTGATTTGTAAGTAGAGGAATTTAGATTTATTTTCATTCTACTTCTGAAAGCATAGTCTATATTTCTAAGCTTTCTGCTTATTTGCTTTTCTCCTCTGTCTCATTTACCTCAAAATATCTAGCAATATCATCTCTAGAATGACTGCAAACTGTTGTACACATGATCCCTTTGATAAAGCCTTTCAGATTTTCTAGAAGGCAAGCATTCTGAAATTGAATTTTGTGGGAGTAGTTGTTTATTTGCAAATGTCCTACTTCTCTCTTTTTTCTCCTTTTGTCAGCCATTGAGGAGCCAGGCTAAATGAATGGGTTGTTCATTTGCTGTACATTTTGAAAACTGGGACATCACTATCACAGTTCAGGGCAACTGTACTGTATTCCTCCTGCGTGGTCCCCTGAGGGCTCCCCAGCCATCCCCTATCTTGGGCAAGGACCTGTGCGTGTCTCCCTCCTGACTGGGATTTTTCCAGGTGGCACAGTTCCCTGCCTACATTGTGATATCCCCAACACGCCAGGCTGCCTAAATAGACCTGCATCTGTGCTTTGCTTTCTCTTTAAAGGTTATGTGCAGTTGGAATTGCCAGCAGGCCCAAGTGACTGCACAGCTTTTTATATGCCAACATATATTTTTATATGCAAACACATATTTTTAAGGTGAAAGCATTATAGAGAAAACCTATACTCATACTAAAAGATCAGCCTTATGGTTCCTCCTTAGACCCATATCCTGCTAACCCTTCCTGAGAAGGACAGAAGTCCCCTAGGTACAGAAGGTCCTGTATGTTGTTGGATTAGAAGGAAGTCTCTGAGTCAATTTAAACTGAAACAATTTATGCAAATTTCCCTTTTTGTCTGTGGGTCTCTGGAGGATCCAATTTGACCTTGTATATGCGAGACTCTCCAAGAGGTAGTTCCTCTTGCATGGTATTATAACCTGAATACATTTGCCTAATTACTCTCTTCTGTTTTCACTTTTTGGAGGGGTGTGATTCATGCGATTACTTATAATCCCTGGGCAACCATGATCCATACATTTAATTCAGTACGATCCCTCAGTGTTATTTTAGGAAATTTCCATATTTGTTACAGTAATATTCATGGGTGACTGGTATGAGTAAGGGATACAGAAGGACCTAAGTCCTTATCTGTTACCATCCTGTGATCATTATACTTTTCCTGAGCTCTTTTAGTAGCTCTGGTCTAACAGCCACCAAGTTACCTTGTATAGAAAACATTTATTTACAGGATAGCGCAAAAACTCTGTTACTTAAATGTGTGCTATTCCTTTGTAGCTAATCTAAGCCTGGACATGGGTAAGTTTGACTTTATTTCTGTAAATTTCTACTGTAACTTTCAGCTGGAGCTCATGATGGATTTATGTATACTTTATATTTGATGACCAGAGCAGCTCTCCCCTAAAGAACAATCTACTGCACAGCAGTGGACAGATAAATTCCTGCTCAAAATGAAGGGTTGCTAATGCAGTCTCAGAGTGAATTGGGTCTTTCTTTTAAAAAAAGATGTTGTCTTTTTGTAACCCACACCTACCAGACATCTCCATCCTTACAACTGCAATAAAAAAAGTTTGTTTATAGAAGAAGGTGATTATTTGCTTATTCAAATGAGTGTCATTCTTTTTCAGCCCTGTGTCGGAGGAAAATCAGTAAGTTTTCATTGATTTACATTGCTCTCTAATTAAGCAAAGAAAAAATAAGAGGATACATGGAGAACTGGTGGATGAGATGTATTTGTAGATTAGAGATGTGTTCCTCCTGAAAACATTCTACCACACAGAAGTGACTAAATTAATCTCTGCTATAACCCCAGTTATGTTAGTGTAGTTATACCTGGATGAATTAGCATCTACAATTTTTGAAAACTCCAATATATTTTTGCATTCTTTCATAGAATTATACAGTCCTAGGGCTGGAAGTGACCATGGGAGGATATTGAATCCAACCCCCTGCCCAAAGCAGGACCAACCTCAACTAAATCATCCCAGCAAGGGCTTTGTCAAGTTGGGACTGTCAAGGCTCCTTCCCTACTCTGGCATCATAAATGCAGAAGTGGGGTCCCGCAAAAGTACCCCAAACATTCTCTTTCCAAGCTTTGATATAAAATGTCCCCCCAAAATATTAAAAACCTAGATTTTTGGAATAAACATCCTTTACCACTACCAACGTAATGATAAGAAAATCAGGGAGAGATCACTTGGGAAATCTCAGACCTAAAGTAAAATCCAGGACACACAAAAAATTAACCAATACCAGGTTAATTAAAAAAAGAAAAGAACTTTTATTATCAGCACAATACACTTGTTACAAGCATAATGACTAGATGGAAAAGTCACCAATTAATATACTCATTGGGAGGACTCCTCCAAGGTTCATGAACTTAGTAACAAAGGGGAGGAAAATCCATTTTTTGAATACACAGACATCAGATTCCTTTCTCAAACCATAAAACAATAAAACCTAACAAATGTATCTAAACTTTACCCTACTTACAGATAGCAAAGAGTTTTTTCTTGGAGCAAGACATTTTGTCTGTCCCCCCGAGTAGCCAGAGAGAAACTGCCCAGGGACAGAGGAGGGAAAAACCAAAAATTCCTTTGTCCCAGTTTGAAATTCCTATCTACATTTCTATTGGCTGCCAGCTACCTGGTTAGGTAAGGGACATAGTTAACCCCTTACTTCCTAGGCTGCTGGCTAACCCTCATGATCACAATAGGGACTTAAAAACCTCTAGTGATGGAGATGCCAACACCTCCCTAGGGAACCCATTACAGTGCTTCACCACTCTCCTAGAAAAGCAATTTTTCCTAATATCCAACCTATACCTCCTCTACTGCAACCTGAGACCATTGCTCCTTGTGCTGTCATCTGCCAAATGCAAAAGTTTGAAGCATGGAAAACTATTTCATTAGTCCTATGTGGAATATGGACAGCATCCAGATTTGAGTAGGAATTTTTAGGAGTTGCATATGCTTGAATGTCCAGCAATACTGAATTTTCCAGAAGCACCTAGGGTATGTCTACACTACCCTCCTAGTTCGAACTAGGAGGGTAATGTAGGCATACCGCACTTGCAAATGAAGCCCGGGAAATTCAAATCCTGGGTTTCATTTGCAAGTGCAGTATGCCTACATTACCCTCCTAGTTCGAACTAGGAGGGTAATGTAGGCATACCGCACTTGCAAATGAAGCCCGGGAAATTCAAATCCCGGGCTTCATTTGCATAAGCGGGGAGCCGCCATTTTTAAATCCCCGCTGATTCGAACCCCGTGTAGCGCGGTTACACGGGGCTCGAACTAGGTAGTTCGGACTAGGTTCCTATTCCGAACTACCGTTACTCCTCGTGAAATGAGGTGTACCCGTAGTTCGGAATAGTCACCCTAGTCCGAACTACCTAGTTCGAGCCCCGTGTAACCGCGCTACACGGGGTTCGAATCAGCGGGGATTTAAAAATGGCGGCTCCCCGCTTATGCAAATGAAGCCCGGGAAATTCAAATCCTGGGTTTCATTTGCAAGTGCAGTATGCCTACATTACCCTCCTAGTTCGAACTAGGAGGGTAATGTAGACATACCCTTAGAGATTGATAGTCATATTCAGAATAGTACTTCTCTTCATTGATGTTACTTTATTCTTATTACTTAGAAGGGGCACATAAAATGTGTGTTCAAGTTGGACGTCCTGGGTCCATCACCCTCAGGCCCTGACTGGTCCCTGATGAAGGCTTTTGCCTGACCGGGGAGGTCATTTCTGGATCCCCTGCTGCTGTCCCTTCCACCCCCACTGGCCTCCTGGCCAGCTTCTTATCTCTTCTCTGCTCCATTGTCCTGCTGACCCCACTGGGCAGCCTTTTGCCGCCCAAAAATTGAGAATGAAAATGGTAATTTTTCATTATTAAGCAATCGTGTAAATAGCTCTAAATTCCCATGAGCCGTCCAAACAACTGTAGAGGACCTCTCCTTTGAGGGACTCAACTGCATTGCAGAGACAAATGGTAAGTTACTGCACATTCTAAAAGATTCCAGGGCCACGTTTGTTCATTTGAAATCTATTGCCGCCCAAAAATTGAGAATGAAAATGGTAATTTTTCATTATTAAGCAATCGTGTAAATAGCTCTAAATTCCCATGAGCCGTCCAAACAACTGTAGAGGACCTCTCCTTTGAGGGACTCAACTGCATTGCAGAGACAAATGGTAAGTTACTGCACATTCTAAAAGATTCCAGGGCCACGTTTGTTCATTTGAAATCTATACTTCTGAAAAGAAGTGTAATTTGAGCAAATCTCAGAGGCTGTGTCTAGACTACATGCTTCTGTCGGCAGAGGCATGCAGATTAGACACATAGGCAAAGGCAAATGAAGCCACAATTTAAATGATCGCGGCTTCATTTACATTTACATGGCTGCCGCGCTGAGCCGCCATTTGGGGTGCAGGATAGGGAGGTAAGTGAGTAGTTGACTAGTTGACTATCCATAAGCATAAGCTTACTAGATAGTTGAGTAGTGACTCGATTAGTCACTTCCCCCACCTTGATGCCTCTCTTAGCCTTGCGGTTGGCTCTTGCCATGTCTTCTCAAGACTCTTTCTCCAACTCTAGGAAGAGAACCCGCAAAGTGGGAACTTTGGGGTGCAGGATAGGGAGGTAAGTGAGTAGTTGACTAGTTGACTATCCATAAGCATAAGCTTACTAGATAGTTGAGTAGTGACTCGATTAGTCACTTCCCCCACCTTGATGCCTCTCTTAGCCTTGCGGTTGGCTCTTGCCATGTCTTCTCAAGACTCTTTCTCCAACTCTAGGAAGAGAACCCGCAAAGTGGGAACAGGTCCCCCTCAAAAAAGTGGGAAACAACACCTAAAATACCTCCAGCACTGACCAATTCAAGGGTTCAGGACATGGAGATTCCGGGACAGTTGTCAGACTATGGCTCCCGATGGTCTAAGGACAAGGCCATCAGACAGGGCACTGAGCCCAAATTTAAATCAGCACAGACTGCACCAACATCTACTTACTCAGCACCCAAAGAAGGCCAAGTCAAAGACACACCACAGACAGGCACTGTCAGCACCAAAATGAGTCAAGGTACTCGCACCTTCAGTCTCGATTGTTCCCCCAATACCAAAAATAAAAAAGCATTCCTCATTTGGGCACCATCAGCACTCCTGATTGCCATGCTACTGCCATCTTCTGCACCGTTGGTGCTGCCCACATTAGTAGCCCCTCTGCTAATGACGGTTGAAGAGCTCAGGGTCACATAGGTACCAACCATGATGTTGTTCAGGACCGACAGTACACCTGCATCCAGCAGATTCGAATTATCCACTCCAACCCGCTCTGTCCAGTGATTATGATGGCGAATCAATCAGTGGAAGCCATCCTCCAAGGCATTCTTCACCTAAGCATCTATACCCAAAGAGTGAAAATCAGATGTAAACTACAATGAAGGCATTAGCCATTCCAATTATTTACAAATTTATAGCAGACTTTCCATAACTAGTATTTCATAAATCAGAAGTGAATGTGGTTCTACATAGGTTGGTTCTACCATAGACAGGCATTATTTTGGGGAAGTGCTCTGGACTGTGTGATAGATGATGAGTGTTTTTTTTCTCGCCTCAAATTTGATGCTGTTCTGTCTCACCTGCTTCCTCATAAACAGGGCTTGACAATTAATGTAACCTACTCGCCCGTGGTGAGTAGATTTTAGCCCGGTGCGGCCCCGCAGCGTGGTCAGTGCATGCGCAGTCCGTGGTAGCAAACAGCTAGAAAGCGGGGTTCTCTGCTGCTTGGCGAGCCCTGCTCATAAATATACTCCAACAAACTGAATATTATTTTTGGTATTTTCACTTTTTTTCACTTCTTTTTCAGGGAACTTGCAGAAGAGAATGAGTAAGTCTGTGTCCTTTTTCATGCAGGTGGATTACAATATGTAGAACTGTTGTACAATGAAAAAAATGATTTAGTTATGCTAATCTCATCTCAGAATGATATATTAGATTTGAAATAAATACAGAGAAGTGCAACAGAGATGATCAAGCATTAGGAGGCCAGGCTAAAAAGATGAGGGCTGCTCATCTTAGAAAAGAGGCACATTATGGGGAATATGATAAAGATGTATAAAATCACAAATTGTGTGGAAAAAGTCAATCAGACATGTTACTTAACCTTTCACTCAGCAGAAATCCCAGTGGTTACCTAGTGAAATTAATACATATCAGGCTTGATAGCAATAAGAAGAAGTATTGTTTTCATAAAAAAGAGGGTTAATTTGTGAGACTCATTACTAGGGGATATTTTGAAGGGCAAAAGTCTAAATAAAGAATTGAGTTAATGAAGGAGAACTCCTTCAATGACTATTGGCCAAGATTGCCCAAGAGATACAACTTCATTTTCAGAATGACCCTAAACCCCTGAATACAAAAACCTAGGAGGGCAGGATATGGGTGATTGATTCCTCTGATGGTTGGGTGGTGGCCATTGTCAGAGATAGGACGCTGGTCTAGATGGACCACTGGTAATACCCGGGATAGCAGTTCTTCTGTACTCAGTGGGCTTGGGGTTTCTCTAACAGGCTGTTTTCAGAATTCTTACCCAGCCTCCCTAGTCCCTGGCATCTGGGTGCTTGCCTGGTTCTTTTCCATGGCTCAGATCTAGGAGGAACTGTTCACCTCTTAGCACACAATCCCAAATGGCAGATGCCCCTGGCAATGTAGTTCTGCAGCTGACTCCCCTTCCTCACTATGGGTATGTTTAGACTACAGGCTTCTGTCAACAAAGAGTGTCTAGACTATGTCCGGTTCTGTTGACAAAGCAAGTCACTTTGTCTACAGGAGAGTGTAGATGCAAAGGACAGTGTAGATGTAATAAAGACTTCTGTCGACAGAACTCTGTCTACAAAAGACATTATTCCACGTAAAATGAGGTTGACCGCTATCAACAAAACTATACCTGCTTCTAGACTACCACTGAATTTTGTCGACAGAACTCAGCAGCAGTTTAGATGCAGGTATAGTTTTGTCGACAAAAGTCCACTTTTGTCAATAAAACTCTGTAGTCTAGACAGAGACACCCTATAGGTCTGGGACAATCAGGCACAAATAGTTGATAGTGGGAACAAAGAAGATATGCTCAATAAACCTTTTCATCCCCCATTCCAGCTGAGTGTCTCTCCATTCGGCCATAGCCAAACTATATCTTTCATGCAAACTTTTTCTACACCAGAAAAGAGGTGGTTGTGGCTGAGTACAATGCTGTTCCCCTCATCTGGATGTCACAGGCCCTTTAGCTGGTCCTGATACCATGTAGCTGGAAATACTGGAGGGACTGCTTTGAGCGACGATGGAATAATGCATATTGTTCCCGTTGCTGTCCCCGCTAATTGCACATAGGGCAATACAGCTCAATGCTTATCCTATAGCTTTTAATGGTTAGTTGTATTTCTGACTGGCCTTTTAATGATGAAATGGTATTCTCATTGAATATTCATTTTGTTTCAGAAAACCTAGAGCGGACAATACGTAAGTTTGTGTCTCCTTTCTATTATGTACAGTCTCGTGAATAAACGCTGACCTTGTGTCATCTACACTCTTTTTATATCAGTTACAGTCAGATGGAAGAGGGAAATGAGTATCCCTTCATGAATAATAGCCAGTCCATGTGCCTTTATCACAGAATAAATCCGAGGAGAAATTGTTAAAGTTCTCTTCAATCACACAGTTCTGTGAGGCAACAAAAGAGATTAACAGAGGAGTATATCCTGTCATATTCACTTTACTAACTAGTTGTTGTCATGCTTAATAGGTTAAAGCAATATTTGCAGCTTATTTTTCTTCTATCTGGAAAGATAGCCTTGAAATTAGCCATTAACCTGAATAGCTAATGAAGAATCCTTGCCTTTCATGGCCCATGGCCAATATTTATGTTACACAAGAAAGAAAGTATCTCATTCAACATGTTCTTCAATTTGTAAGTCAAGGAATAAATATTAAACTCATTTCTTCTCCCATTTCCTTTGCAGAGGAACTCCACAGAGAAAACGGTGAGTGGGCCTACTTTCCGAAAAATTACTGTAGAGATGTTTCCATTGCACTGCCCATCTGTCTGAGAAGACAATGGAAAGATTATGGGGTGTGAGGCAGGGCAGAGTTGACACTTCTGTGCTATTGTAATAACAGAGGCCATGCAGATACTCCACCCCCTACCTAAGAGATGGAGACAGAATTTACGTTCTCAATTGACTTCTAAAAGAATGGGAAACCATGTTTTGTACAGAGCTCCTGGATAGGGCTCTGTAGCCATTGCCATGGAAGGGAAGTGGTGATAGACATATTGGAATGTATAATGAATCAGGAAAAAAAAACCAAGCTCTTCTAGGTTCTCTCCCAATGGACACATTTCTAGATAAATATAAATAGATGACATTCGGCATGGGAATTTGTGTATTTTTTTAAAAAAAGGATAAAATAGTTCCATACAGTCATGTCAGAGCCGAATAGGGGTTTCAGGAAATAAAATTATTACTGAATTCAATATTTGACCCTTCATTCAGTGGAGTAGACTGAAGTGGCCACATTCCCATTGCCCCCAAATTTGATCCTGATCCAATGGGATCGAATTTGATCCTGATCCACTGGGATCAAATTTGATAAGAATGTAGTGCATATATTGAGAAGAGTCCTTTTCTTATGTCTTGTAGCCCTATTCAAGGAGGAGAAAGGTCATTTTATCAGTGGGGGAAACTGGGGAGGGAGGATTTCTTTAACTGCTGGCAGGTCAGGACCTTTCTGCTTTTACAGTCACAGAGGAGTTTTGTAACTGGGACTTAAAAGAGTCTGGATAGTGTTCAGTGGCAGTTTGTCTTTCACTGCATAATCCAGATGGGGATGTGAGACTGGGACCATTGAGAGGAAAGAAATGTCCATGAACAAGATATTCTGCAAAAACAAGAACAAACCAACTTACAGACAGAGAACTGTTTTGTTTGCTAAAGCAATGGCTAGATTTTAGATATGTATTCAACAGAAAAGAAAACGTACATGTGAAAGACGTTGAACCTTGTGAGTGCAAATGCAACATAATTTATTAAATAAATATTATCACGCCTCTTTCAAGCGCTGACACCCATTTTAGATTTGTGCCCTATTCACTTCTTTTCCATTTAATCATGACCTTGAAGGTTCTTGCCAACATTATTAAATATGTTTGGGACTTAATCTCTTATCTAGTCTTCTGTGTGGGGGAATGGGAAAATGACAAGCCTTACAGAGGGTATGTCTAGACTACATGGCTCTGTCGACAGAGCCATGTAGATCTGTTTACTAGACATAGGAAAATGAAGCAGCGATTTAAATAATCACTGTTTCATTTACATCAAAATGGCCACCGAGCTGTGCTGATCAGCTGTGTGGCGGCATGGCAGGGCAGTCTGGACGCACTACGGTCGACAAGAGACGCCCTTGTCGACCGCTCCAGTAAGCCTCATTTCAAGAGAATGACTAGCTGGTAAAGACTTTTTCCTGCTCATCATCATGGTAAATATTTGTGCTAGTCAAGGGATAAAGGTTGTTGTTCTCACTCTGCAGCTTGCTAACAAATAGACAGACACTAATTATTTTTCTCTTTCCCCTTTCTCACTGATTATTTTCCAGAGCAACTCCAAGAGCAAAATGGTGAGTTTTCTGAATTATGCCACAGTCATGGGCTCTGATGATGCCACGTACAGCTAGAAAGTTGTATGTTCACTTGTGTGGCTGGGAGATCTCTTGTTCCACAGGATCCTTTGTTTAGAGAGGTGAGAAGTTGCTAGCTTTCTGCAAAGCAGTGTGGGGAGGAGATATTCCAGAGCTCACTGCAGAGCCCCTGAGAATGACAGAAATAATAGAGACTCAGGATTCCATCCTGCTCGGATTAGCTTTCAGCAGAAGTTTGACCTGGATGTGATGGATACATACAGGATGGCTAGCTCCTCCCATCTTCCCTGCTGTCCATGTGACTTCAGCCATATGTCCCGCTTCATGTGTGGATGCACAGTAAAACAAGTAATAGTTAATCCGTGAAAATTGTTCCCTGTTCCTTTTCCTCATTTACTAATGAGAGAAGAGTTTTCTTTGAGGGCTTGTTGATCAGGTGCTACAATCAGGTGTACGCACATCATAAGACAAGCATTGGGAAATTTTCCTCTAGCAGCTTCCATCAGGGTCAGACATAGAGCCCGTTGATCCTCCCACTCTCACCACTCCCTTAGATGTGAATGTATTCCTCACTGATTGGCTGTACCACAGACAGGCATTATTTTGGAAAAATTCTCTGGCCTGTGTGTTAGATTATAAGAGTGCCTCACATCTGATGCTGTTAAAAGTCTCACCTGCTTCCTCATAAGAGAATAAGTAAGTCCGTGTCCTTTTCCATCCATTACCAATATGAGGCACTCCTGGAGAATGAAAAAAGGATTGATGGATTATTAAAACTTACTATTCCTTGCCAAGGTCAGAGCCTGCCCGGCAACCCATAAGGAGTGAGATGCCCCTCCCAGGGAGGTCAGGAGGGGGGAGAAGCCATTGTTGGGGTGAGTCTGGAGCCAGACAGGGCAAAAGTGCCAGGCCTGCATGCAAGGTGTCCCCCTGAGAACTAGCCTCTAGGGACCTGAAAGCAAGATCCCTCAGCTGGGTTTTATTTCTCCACTGTTGATTCCCAGTTCGTGGAGTTTGCTGGGAAACTTCCCCAGCCAGGCTGAGTTAGCCATCCAGCTCCCTAGTGGTATGTCTACACTACAGCAATAATTCGAACTAACTTAATTCGAATTAGTTAATTCGAACTAAGCTAATTCGAACTAGTGCATCTAGACCTAAAAACTAGTTCAAATTAGCGTTTTGCTAATTCGAACTAGCATGTCCACATTGAGTGGACCCTGAACTGGGGTTAAGGATGGCCGGAAGCAGTGCCGGCAGGGCATCAGGTTAGGACTTAGAGTGTGGAGCTGCTGTCTCAGGCTAG